TCAAAACAATCAAAGCTGGATTTACTTTTTGAACACCATTTTTGTTTCAAATTGAAATGTAACATAATCTGTTCAGAAAAATTGGGAATTTATTACAAATATAAATGTTTTTGAGAATCAATTTGTGATAAAGTACTGAAATCTGTTAACAAAAGAACTGTATTACAAATGGCCATTTCAGGAATAATTTTCAATTTCATTGGGTGAATACTAGTATGCCACTTTGTGTGCTGTAAATGTTTCATCTTCTTCAGGATCATGTGAAAGAAAATCTAAATACAGTGCCAACATAAATATAGAGCTTTGTTAATTCACCGAACATTATAGGATAATGATCTTATCTTCTAATCTACAATTGATGATAATTTATAGTATGCAAGTGGCACTTAACACGCAAGCCTCACTGCACTGGTGACATGCAATAGGTACACTGCTGTCTAGCTACAACCCACTGCTGTCTAGCTACAACCCACTGCTGTCTAGCTACAACCCACTGCAGTCTAGCTACAACCCACTGCTGTCTAGCTACAACCCACTGCTGTCTAGCTACAACCCACTGCTGTCTAGCTACAACCCACTGCAGTCTAGCTACAACCCACTGCTGTCTAGCTACAACCCACTGCTGTCTAGCTACAACCCACTGCTGTCTAGCTACAACCCACTGCAGTCACACCAACCAGTAGCAATATCTAGCCATATCAATGTGTAATATCTAGTCATATCTACCACTTCATGTCTACAGCTGTTATATACACGATTGGGTACATGCTTCATATCTTGTAATATGTAATCATACATATCCCAGTGTAACATCTACCAGTATATAAATAACCCAAATATCTACCCGCATATACCGCTTCGTAATATATACCCATATGGAATAGGAATATATACCTCTGTTGAATATCTGCTTGTACCCATTAACTCAATGGATCCTTTGCAATATCTAGTCATATTTACCACTGCAGGCAATCTAGTCATGTATACCACTGTGTGACAACCAGGCTCTAATTATATTTGGCACAGTGTAAGGGTTAAAGTACGGCACTACCTAAAAGTAAAATGCTACTAATTCTGTCATTGAGCAATAGATAATTGTTGGTTGCAATTCACTAACCCAATGACTGATCTAGTACAGATCAGTTGTGAATGTGGGCAGGCAAGCAAGCAAGATATTGCTTCCATCAGCAAACACAAATACATGGGCAATATACAAGCATTACACTAGCAATACACAAGGGAGTAGCATAGGCTGCATATTGCTGGAGACTATGACTACTATAGACCACACCAACATTAGCCATACAGGAGCAAGGATGTGTAGAGGAGAAACAGAAAATGGTGTGTTTGTTTTTTGGTAAATTTTTAAATTATTCCGGGTTCTTCTGTCCAGGAATTTATCTTGAGAATCCAACACCCATATGTCTACAACCAACACTGTGTACACCAATAATTAACCTTTGGTTCAAACTGCAGCTGAGATCAATACATCACAATTCTGATCATTCACACACACAAGTTGTGAATAAGTGCTAATTTACATCACTGTGCAATTATAGAAACGAACGATTTCTCCCCAAGGACACCAAAACAAGTCCGACCACAAGCTACTCTGTACTAGCAACAGAAAATATTCTTGTATAGCTACAGAGAATGTAGTGGAATACATTTTTATGCACCAAGAAACCTCTTCTGTAAATTACAATAAACTACAACAGCTACATCAACTCACAGCCAGCATACTTGATATGGGCAAAACACACTGGCACACAGCAAACACTCCCTGGACGAGATTGCCGTCAACTATCTATATTGCAGACTAGAGACATCCCTTTGGGAGAAGATAGATGCTTGTCAGGGAAACACTTTGTTGCACATCACTTGACACTATGTAGTACACTATTTAGGACACCCAAGAGTACATTCTACACATTTATACCACAGACACTTTCAGACAGCTTATACTGTACAGAAAACCATGGAATAATTCATTATCATGGTGTAGAGAAGGTTATTGAACATTAAACCAAACAACAATGCTTCAATAAACAAAATAAAACCGAACATTTCAGTAGAGGATGTGAGTTGATGTGAGTGTGAATGAGTGTCTAACAATTTTTTTTTTTAAATAATAGGAGCCCATAATATTCATACCACTAAAATCAATCTTACTGTTAATATCAACATGCAGAAAATAGCTACTAAAACTTTGATGACAACTTTAAAACAAAGATTTACGAATCAAATGTTGGTATGGAGTCCAATGTTTTATATCCAGAGGATTTCATACGGATTTATCCTCCAATCCCAGTTTTATACACAATTCCCCTAATCCTCCTGAACTGTATCTGGATACCCAACTGGTTCACACCTTAACCCCACACCTGACACCATAGCCACCTGTCCCTTCCCTGATCCCCGAGAATCTACCCTTAATACCACCCCATCATCACCCAACAGTTAACTGCAGTAGGACTTCACTCACTGTGTGTGACCCGTGAAGTTCGGGGGTAGAATAGGTCTCCAGCAACCCATGCTTGCTGTAACAGGCTACAATGCTTGTCGTAAGAGGCGACTAACAGGATCGGGTGGTCAGGCTCGCTGACTTGGTTGATGCATGTCATCGATCCCAATTGCATGGATCGATGCTCATGATGTCAATCACTGGATTGTCTGGTCCAGACTCGATTATTTACAGACCGCCGTCATATAGCTGGAATATTGCTGAGTGCGGCGTTTAACAACAAACAAACCAAACAATCACTCACTGTGTAGTCATACCAGAATATTATGGTGAGGGATCCATTACACTGTGTAATAAAAAACTGATTGATGTTGATGACAGTGACGAAGCAACGATCAATCATTTTATTTATATGGTTAAAGCAGCCTGTTTGGAAATTGTCCTTAATTGGAAATCAATGATAAAATGACACACACTTTGACAAACCAAATGTTTATACAGTGGTGTCACAAAGATAGCTGGACTTTTATATGTTCCTGAAACAGGAACTTTGTGTATTAAAAATATAATCAACTTTGTCATCATCATAATTAGGGTCATATTGTTTATGAATAAAACTTCATTTTGCAGTTTCTCAATGTTCAGCTTTTGCTCTTTTTAATTTATACCTATAAGCTGTACATAAGAACGAGTGAGTGAGTACGTTTTTACGCTGTTTTTAGCAATATTCCAGCAGGGGACACCAAAAATAGGCTTTACCCTCTGTAGCCATGTTGGAAATTAAACCCAGGGCTTTGTCAAAATGAGCAAACACTTTAACAACTTGGCTACCCCACCACCCTGCAGAGGTAAGAAGTTTGGTTGTCATGGTTGTTCAATATGTGGAATATACCATGCACTGCTGCCCAGTTGCAGTAGGGAAGACTCCCTGAATGTTTGATCTGCATCATTAAGGCCTGGAGTCACGCTGACCCTGCAGTTTCACAGGCAATGGAAAGCCTTGTGCTGAGATCATTGATTATTCTGCTTAATTGATGGGACTTTCATTAAAGAAGAACCGTTTGATCATTATTTCAACAAATGCATCAATGAGGCCATTTTGGAAATACTTTTGTTTGCCAAATTATGCACCCTGATTGCTTTTCAGATCTGGGTAAGAAGAAAGGAATCTATGCTACTCAACTTTTGCTAAGGACCAAAATAGTCATCTTAATCAAGTTGTGGTCCTTTGCAAATGTTGAGTAGCATATAACACATTTAGTGGAATGAGATGTTTATTTTATACATTTCAGCCCATAATCCCTGCTCCAAATTTGACCTGTTTTTTTTTCAAATACATCCAGCCAGGGATTAAGATTTTTAAAACATTGAGGCAGGTGTTTAGGCGTAGGTATAAGTATATGGAAACTGTTTATACCCTCCTAAAAACAAAATGTACATTCACTTGATAGTTTCAGGATATCTCAGCCATGAACATATGGTGTCCAATCCATTTTGTAGTGAGTGAGTGAGTAAGGTTTTATGCCGCTTTTAGCACATATTCCAGCAATATCACGGCGGGGGACACCAGAAATGGGCTTCACCCAGTTTCTACCTAGTCACATCATTCTTTGCACAAAGTCTACGAAAACATTTCTTTAAAATAATTGTCAGTTACTTTTTTTCAAAAGAGCCTTTTCTTTTACGCGACTTGGTATAGTTTGATCTAGATTTGCCTTGGCTTTGAGTAAACAAAATAATAAATTAATTTCTCCAGATTATACATAAATTCCTCAGTCATGGCGCAGGACTATGTTCACCATGCCCCTCACTGATTCAAATAACTGGAAACAACCAGGGCAGAACTGTCTGTAGTCCTCAACACAGGCCAGGCAAGCTCATCACAGCTCCTTCCACACATATACCATGTATACAGTCAATGGACACCTACAGCCAAGGGTAGGGAGTAACCTGCCTGTATCAGCTTACCAAATAAACTGTTAGTAAAATCTGGAGGAATAAACTCCTGTCAGATGGTATTTTCCAGCCTAACCTTCTCTCATCACATTATCATGTATTATCAGGGGCTTTCTGTGAACCCTAGCCACCTGGTGCCTGGTTTCAGAGCCAGACACTCAGCTAGCTCACAAGAAACTTTGGACTTTTAAATATGAACGTAGAGAATGATCATGATAGAGGAGAGACAAATACTTTCACGTTGAATTTCCACTGATATACCAAAATTGTCAGTTGTTGGTGATAGGAAAGAGATATAAATCATTGGGACATGCAACATTTCAGACACTTCACTGAAATAAAACAAAACTACAACAAAACAAATCATAAATGTAAAGTTACACACTAGTTTGAAATCAGGCAATAAGTCCTTCAGACGTTAACATCAAAACATCCCAGAGGCTGACAAGACTTTGCTCGTGGGTATTTCACAACATAAAATATAAACAAAAAAGATAAGATTCTCGGTTTAACGGCCGATTTCATCAAATGGGTAATTGCTTCAAGCAAGTAAATTTCTGAAATAAAAAAATCTGCCTACCTGAAACGCTAACTTCAAATGATCCAAGACGAGGTACATCAGAATTAAGTCTTGCGTCAAGAGTAATCTCCCCTGATGATTCATTAAGATGCAGCAGACGTGCCTCATTTCCAGAGACGAACCTGTACACAAGACGAGGGCGGTCAATTTCGTCCGGATCATATGCAGGTACACGTCCAATAGATCCAGAGGGAAAGCTGTGTGGGTAGTTGTTGAATATAATCATAAAATCCTTCAAAGTTGGGGGGTTGTCATTAACATCTTGAACTTTGATCTTAACAGTCGTAATCGCGAACAAAAGACCAGAAGCAGCACGCAGTGTCACTTCATATTCCTTCTTGTCCGATTCAAAATCCAAGTCAATAAGTGAGGTAATTTCAGCCGGATCACCCTTCCTTCCGCTGAGACGGAAGGAATCCACGTCAGCTCCACCAGCAAAGGAATACTCTACCAAAGCATTTTCCCCTTCATCTGGATCAGTTGCTGTTATGACACACACAGTTGAACCAATGGGCGTATTTTCAGGAACAGGTGCTTCAATAACACGATTAGCAAAATGGGGCTGATTGTCATTTACATCTTCAACTTTAATCTTTATCTTGACTGATGTTGATAATGGTTCATTGCCTTTATCAATTGCATATGCAACAAGTTCATAATTGGCAACACGTTCTCGGTCAAGTTCTTTCTCCACACGTATTATCCCCCGAGCACTGTCAATCTTGAAGTCCCCATCGCCATTGTTCCCACCATCAAACGTATACTCGATCTGCTTGTTTTGGCCCTGATCTCGGTCCTCAGCTTGGATCCGGAGAACACTGGTCCCTGGCAGCTCATCTTCCCTAATAGAGCCCTCATATTCCTGTTCGAGGAACTCAGGTTTATTATCGTTGATGTCGTTCACTGTGATGTCCATGTCCGTCGTATCGCTCAGAGGCGGCACGCCGTTGTCAGTTGCGGTGACACTTAACATGTATGTTGGTATCATTTCTCGATCGAGCAGCGCTCTGGTTTTTATCACCCCTGAATTTGGATCAATCGTAAATGTGGACGCAGGTTCAATGGAATAAGTGATTCGAGAATTTTCACCTCTATCGCTATCCAGTGCCATAATCTTGAAGACTGAAGTACCGACTGCAACATTCTCATCAACACGTTTCACGTATGGTGTCCCCTGAAATGCCGGCCTGTTTCTGTTGGTGTCCGTCACATTGATGTAAACTTTTGCCGAGTCAGTTTTTCCACCCGAGTCTCTAGCACTCACAGTCAACACATACCGGTTCTGGGTCCGAGCATCCAGGCGCCCCTGAACTGTGATGATACCCTCTCCCCTGTTTGGACTTATCTGGAACACATTCCCAGTATTTCCTCCAGTGATGTCATACGAGACCCGTGCGTTATCACCTGTATCAGTATCAATGGCTGTTACGGTGGTTACTCGGGTGCCAATTCTGGCCTCTTCGGACACTGCTGCTTGATACATTTTCGGTGTGAATGCTGGAGCATTGTCATTGATGTCGCGAACCAGGATGGTGACCTGTGCTGAAGCCATCTTGGGCGGATCTCCATGATCCTTGGCAAGAACGTGAAAATCGTAAGAAGCTGCTATTTCCCTGTCAATACTTGCGCTGGTTTTAATCCATCCGGTTTTGTCATCGATCACCAGTGGCATATTTGCTGGACCATCAACAATACTGTAGGTCAATCTTGCGTTTTCTCCCGAGTCCCTGTCATGAGCTTGAACCTGCTGGATAGGGGTTCCTGCTGGTTCGTTCTCAAAAACAGACTCCTGGAAAGTTTCTGGAAAGAACTTGGGTGCATTATCATTGACATCCAGCACCTCAACCAAAACCGTGGCTTGGCTTTTCTGAGATGGTACTCCACTGTCCTCAGCCCGGATGTTCAGCTTGTACTCCTTGTACAACTCGTAATCAAGAGTGTCGATCACACTCAGCGATCCCGTCAGACTGTCGATGTGGAACTTATTGTCCACATTCCCTGTCATGCTGTACCGGATATCAGAATTACGCCCTTGATCAATGTCAGTGGCGCTTATGTTCAGAATTACTGGCCGAGATGAAACGTCAATATTTTCTAAAACTTGAACTCGGTATGCTGTCTTGACAAACTGAGGCTTGTTGTCGTTTTCATCCTTTAGCTGTATATCCACAGTCGTTGTGGCACTTTTCCGTTTGGTTGTTTCCCCTTGGTCAACAGCTCTAACAAGGAAATGGTACCGATCTTTTGTCTCTCTGTCAAGAACTGACCTGGTCGATATAATTCCAGTGAGGGGGTCAATCATGAATGGCAGCAACTGTCCATCTGTGTTTATGAGCGTGTACCTCACATCCGCATTGTCACCAAAATCCTTGTCCGTTGCCTGCACAGTCAAAACGGTGTACCCCTCATGTTGGTCTTCTGAGATGTTACGAGTGTAATGATCCGATTCGAACTCAGGTGGGTTATCATTGACATCATCAACTATGATAACCACCAAACTTGTAGCTGTTTGTGGTTCTCTACCATCATCTGTCGCAACAAGCATGAAGTAATGGGCTGCAATCTGTTCCCGATCGAGGGTCTGCGTTGTGTTGATCGTTCCTGTAACCGGGTGGATAGAGAACATGTTTTGACTGAGAACATTTCGATTTGGCACCATGCTGTAAGTGATAGTGCCAGCTTCTTGGGTGTCAGGATCACTTGCTGTGATTGTTGCTACGACGATCCCAGGCCTCTGTTCCTCTTTGACATGTTCGACATACTGTATTTTAGAAAAGACAGGAGGGTTGTTTTCAATGGCTCTTCGCCAGCGATGTTTCTTGACATTGACGGTGTTCGGAGAATAATGGCCACTAAAAGAATGAAGTACAAGTCGGTATGGCACTGACATTGATGATTTCTCACAGTAAAACAAAACATTGAAATCTGCGATGATCTCTCCTCCGTTCAAGCACCGGCTGATAAGAGATGTTATTTCTAATGTTTGAATGTCCACTTTTAAGTCCGATGAAACTGGCATGTCCACTACTATAACACACTGTTTGAATGATAATGGAATATAGCTGGCTAATGAAGCTAAATGATGCCCCCTTGGAATGCACTGGTTCGTTGTCTGATTGCTGTAGACAACAACAAAATGGGGGTCTTTCAACCGATGAGGTTTGAGCGTCTGCGGGGACACTCCGCACTTGTCCCCATGAACGAAAACAGAGAATGGAGTCACAGTGTAATTTGAAATGAGATTGGAGTATCTAATCCTTGAAATAACACGAAAGTTGAATGGATTTTCACTAACATGATAGCACTGCACATTTTGTTTCAAATACACAACCCCATTGCTTGAGTCCAGCTCTAGATAAGGTAGTGCATGACGGCTATGTTGTCTATCGAGGGTGTACGACCACCCTGGCCCGTGGCTCCCGTTATATAGAACCGTCCCCCCGGGATCGGTGGCCGACATGTGTATGTCGAATGTCAAAGCTGAAGATATATGCAATATAAATACAATACCTACTAATATTTTGGTTCTGGGTCTTGCGGCCCTTGACACCCAGAAATCACACACACAGCGTCGCCTTGCCCTACCCAGCACTCCAACTGTCTCCATGTCGCCGGATCGACTAGCAGACATCGCGACCCACTTGAACCGCCAGGTAATTCCTTGATCCAGACCTACAGTACACTGTAAGCACCAGTTTCCTCTACATCGTCCACAGAGAGCCTTCCGATGATATACACCACCGTAGTCTGGTCCTGCTATGCCTCCAGTCCTCGCAACGCGACCATCGTCTACACGGCGAGCACTTCACAGCCACCTCTCGTTGCTTCAAAATGGCTGCACGCAGTTTCAATAGGTAACTAGCCGTTCTGTTCTCCGCCCGTTAATCGCTGTCGCTGAATGAGAAAATGTGAATTAAACCACCAGTCTCAGCATCCGACGGGTACTCCTTGATATTACATCAATATCCAGGTATTTAAGTCGGTACAGTCCAACCCAGGCGTCACTGACTGAGTTTGAAATACTATGACACGCTCAAGAAAGGGGGGACTATAGAACTGCGTGAACGCTTTGTCACGTGACCAAACAAAAGGTGTTCAATACAATTGGAATTTATTTAGCCGGCCACGGATAGGTAACTCGGACCAGTGCAAGCAAGTGCAAGACTCGGACATGCCCCAGAATAATAGCTCTGTGCGTAATTGGTTGACACCACAATTAAAATCAGTACTTTGGGGTGGCGGTTTACTACCCTACACCCCTTACTGGGAATATCCTGGGGATATATTTCTCTCGGAAATGGGTCGCGGTGTGTGCTGACTAACGCATTACGCAACTAGCATTCAGCCTTCTTTTGTAGTTGAAAGTACCAATGAAAATAAAAACTTTGGTTCGTATCCACTGAAGCTTGTAAAATTACTACCTGAGATCTCAAAAACTCAAAAAGAGGACTGTTTTCATCCAATAAACGTCGGCACAATCTGCGTGGGTCAAGTTTGTTTGATTACCTGTGCATAGTGACATCTTTGTGCAAACAGTTCAACCCGTACGCTGAGATTGACCAACGCGGGTTATGCTGTCGGAATCGACTTTTAAGCCGCCTAATTTCAGTTTGGTTGTTTTCTTTGGGGTTAAGATGAAGAATTAACAATTTAATTGCATTTGGTTATGTAAACTTCAATTTATTCCATCAGCGAACTGTGTTTGTACAAGCCACGGTGACGTAACATAAGATCATTGTTGTTTACAAGTTTTCCTTCTTTCATGTCTAGTAGAATGCACTCGAAGTGTCTTAAGTGTCAGCCGAGTGCCACAACGGATCCAACGTAAACGCTCATTTATCCGCCGCTATCATCACCACCACCATCATCATCACATAAATAAGTAGAATAACCAGAGTGAAATGCACCGACTTTAAAGCGTTGCTAACCCTGTCGTCAGAAATACAATGTGTCCACATTTTGAACTCTCTGATTTTATTTCGGAAAACAGGACACCTCTCCCTGATAGATTGAAACAAAGTTGTACAAATAATAGAAATGTAGTTATAAAAGTAATACACAGTTTACGAAGCTTCATTAACGCAACACAGATTAGTAAACAAAACAACAAAGAGCGTCTTACCCCATTTGGCGATTCATAGTATATTTGATTTTAATGTGTTTAAGAAACTAAGTATGAAAAAAGGATTCGCCCGCCAAATAATTTCATAATAGACAGCAGACTAACAAGATCCACTTACATAATTTGGAGACCACTTTCGATTTCATCCTAAATGATGGATAGCGCGTCCCGCGGGTACAGGTAGGTTGTATACATACGGCGCATGTTGTGCTGCAACGAGCTAACGGCACAGGTGTTTCGGGGTATTTAGACCCTGGCTACAGATGTCTATATACAGAAGTCACAGCTCACCTCAAAATGTTTCAAGCAAACTCTAGTTAACAATCACACAAAGGGAATCACTGACGTACTTTGCATGTTAAGAAATAAACCGAAAGGCAAAAGAAAATATACCGAATTTATTGTTTGTTTTTGTATGTAAATGAAAATTGAAATAACGGTTGTTAAATGTGATTATTTCTACTTAGCCATAACTTATTCCTGCAACAGTTTGTAAACAGTAATCTGTGGCTGGGTACTTTTATGTAGAAATACATAAGTTCAATGAAGACTGGTGTGATAAATTAATTTGTAACAACATGACCTTTGTCATGTTTGAAATGTGAATTTGTGCATGCCGAAGAAAGCAAATTTATTTATGTTCACAGATAAGATGCCTAGGGTCCCCATCAGCAGCTGTGTATTATTCGATTTATTTCATTAAATTTTTAAAAGTTTTAAATTAAATGATATTGAAAGATTAAATCACGTAGAAGTATTCTTTGAGTGCTGTCAAAGCCCCAGTACAGATCTTTCATTGTATAATATCGCTAACTTGAGATAGTTTCAATTGAACATCAAACATAGGATACAATCATCTGAGATGTATGGTTTCTTTTGCTCCTCGGTTTAACGCCAGATTTCACACTGACTTCCGCCATTGGCGCTACTTCATTTATACACACACAAAACCATTATATTTTCTAATTTAAAATGACATTAAAACTCTGATATTACAAATGATTACATTTTTAAGATGTCATGTTGAAATGTGCAATATTTCAGTGAAATGTCACAATCTACACACAAAGAAGTCTGTCAAATGTTTGCTCTCTACCATACTGGGATAATATGATAATCAACAGTTTACCGGTGTCAACCAATCACAGCTGACCTCTGCTGTATATTACATAGTTATCCGCCAACTGTGTGTTTGATACGTTATTTATTCAATAGATGAAGATTGTGAGTGAATCAAATGCTTGTGTACACACACACATAAAAGGTCAAACCGAGATCAGTCACGTTAACCTTTGGAGCATATATACCATTACACAATTTAAGCGCCCCTGTGCTTCCAAAACTAAAGTTCAAGCCCACATCAAACAGAATAACTATGAAAAAAATATCGAATGCCCCTCACACAAGATTGACAAACAACAAGTTACATAACAACACGGCGGCTAAAGTGTGGTAAACTGTGTGGCGATAATTTGTCTAATTAAGGTCTCGTATTTAGCGCCCGGTCAATTATCGCATTATGTCATCCCAAGGAGCGAGTAGACCCGATCTAGACATCCCACAGACCCCCTATACAGCCTGTTTGTGACAAAGTCCCATATAGCCTAGGGCCAGGGACAGTCGTTTGCCACCAGTTTACTGACAGACTGGTTTATGGCGGTGATAAAATGATTTGTGTGAAAAGAACTCGATGTCTTTAATCTGTCGTATTTCCTATACAGATAAAATACACACACATGATTCACCCACAGACGCCTATATATAGCACTTCAGTAGTTGTTTAGGTTGCGTTTTATATCTCAACGCACTTGTGGTAATTTTTTCTCAGGGGGAACATATGTGTGGTAATTATGTAAAATGGATAAACTTTCCCCGGTAATTAATACGAGATATATCATGTGTAACACATCAGCGGTGTGTTGATATCAGATAACAAGACATGTGGTAATTGTATATTTTTGATCACACACTCCTTTGAAGATTTGATATTAATGAATATGTTTCGGCGATAATTTCATATCATGGAACCAACACCAGCGTCTTTCAACATGTTTATCATGTACACTCATGGTAGTGTTATCAGGGAAAGTTTCGATTAGGAAAACAAATATCCTCCATCGTTTTATATCAGGATATATACATACGCGGTACTGATACACTTTATAACATGAATACATGACACTTTTTCCGGGTAGAGATTAGGTCATCAACAACCCATGCTTACCGTAACAGGCTACTATGCTTGTCGTAAGAGGCGACTAACGGACCGGGTGGTCAGGCTTGCTGACTTGGTTGATGCATGTCATCGTATCCCAATTGCGTAGATCGATGTTCATGATGTTAATCACTGGATTGTCTGGCCCAGAATCGATTAATTACAGACCGCCGTCATATGGCTGGAATATTGCTGATTACGGCGTTAAACAACAAACAAATATGGCAATTTTTATGGAAAGCAACTTCTTTTATTGTTTGTCACGACGTTTTAGATCTACTTCTTGCTGCTTCGTCTTCTTGTTCGTGAAATGTCGTGACAAAGAATAAAAGAAGTTGCTATACGTAAAACGTGGCATGTATTAATGTCCATTCAAAACTCCTGAATCTAAGGCTCCACGGATGGTGTAAATTTCCAGTTTCTATGCATCGCCCTTTTGTTAAATTGAGACGTTGTAGTGTGTGTGACGTGTAATAGGGTTTAACGATTATTATTCGCGTCCAAGATTATTGTACTTATATAACGACGTGCATGCACGTGTGTGTTTGCGTGTGGTTGCTTGCACTAGTCCGGACCAATGTCGGTTTTATAGTGTTAGCCCACTGAGATACCATGCCGCAGTTATAACATGAATATCCCACTCACGGTGACTCCGAGCCGACCAGTCCTTGTTTTAGCTCCTTCATGCCAAGCTCCAGGCTGGGTATCAACAAGTACCATCTTTTAACGTCATTTGGTATGACGCGGTCGGGAATCGAACCACCGACCTCCCGCTCTCCGGACAGACGCTCTATCCACTAGACCACGGAGGGCGGTTTGTATTGTATATGCAATACAGGGCAATACGATCTATGCATGGCGCAATGTATCTAGGAGCTGAGAAAGCTTGTGTCAGCAGACTAAGGGTGGTTTAAGTGACCTGATGCAAACTTGGTGATGGTTGTAGCGCTTCAACCCCATACTTTAACATAGACTGACGGTAGTTGTAAGGCTTCTGGTGGTAGTTGTAGCGCTTCAACTCCATATATTAACATAGACTGACGGTAGTTGTAGCGCTTCTGGTGGTAGTTGTAGCGCTTCAACTCCATATATTAACATAGACCGACGGTAGTTGTAGCGCTTCTGGTGTTAGTTGTATCGCTTCAACTCCATATATTAACATAGACTGACGGTAGTTGTAGCGCTTCAACTCCATACCTTAACATAGACTGACGGTAGTTGTAGCGCTTTAACTCCATACCTTAACATAGACCGACGGTGGTTGTAGCGCTTCAACTCCATACTTTAACATAGACTGACGGTAGTTGTAGCGCTTCAGCTCCATACCTTAACATAGACTGACGGTAGTTGTAGCGCTTCAACTCCATACTTTAATATAGATTGGCGGTAGTTGTAGCGCTTCAATTCCATACTTTAATATAGACTGACGGTAGTTGTAGCGCTTCAACTCCATACCTTAACATAGACTGACGGTAGTTGTAGCGCTTCAACTCCATACCTTAACATAGACTGGCGGTAGTTGTAGCGCTTCAACTCCATACCTTAACATAGACTGACGGTAGTTGTAGCGCTTCAACTCCATACCTTAACATAGACTGACGGTAGTTGTAGCGCTTCAACTCCATACCTTAACATAGACTGACGTTAGTTGTAGCGCTTCAACTCCATACTTTAATATAGATTGGCGGTAGGAGCTAGTGTCTGTGTGTTTAATTTACAC